CAAACCATGATAAAACATAAGCGGCCAACATCGCATGCAGCTGCAAAATATGTTCCTCCCAAGGCCTGCAAGAAGATGGCCACTCTTGTGCTAGCTCAGTTGACTTGGATTTCAACAGAGAAAATGTGACTGACACAGACGAGACGGGTGACATGAAAAAGCCGCCGCAGCGCGTCATTATTCAGTATGTGTATTGTCAGTATATCTTGAGAACTGAATATTGATTCAGCAGCTTGCTGATGTTCAGTTTGAAAGGGCGTGGTATTTTGAGAATAGTCCCGAGTCTACACTAATCTAGGTTGCAAAACTGTTGTATGATAATAATTTATCTTTCGATGCGGCAAGCACTTGGGTGAGCAACAATGGTGGTGTCTTTGGTCAGATCTTGTTGAGTTGACTTCTGCTCTGCGCAGTGCGCAATCTACAGGTAAAAAAGGAACAGACATAACATCGTCTTCATTGTGCAGCATCTTACGGGACTACAGAACCCTATCCCATAAAAGCGGGTTTTAAGTACTAAATCGTGTGGCAATATCCTCCAACCTTGTCACTATAATTGATATACACTATCGTGATATTTCATTACACGACGACGCTTACCGTGGCCCCAGAAATCTCATGATATGGTCCATCGTCGGACGATGGGCTGATATCTCATTCAAGCACGGTGAGAATTGTTGATACACCGCATGACTCTCTATGCCCCTGAAAGGTGCACGTCCCTTCTGCATAGCGCCCATAACCTGTAGAACACTTGTTATCCACGCGTAGGGTTGCTTTCCCACAAAGATCTTGGATTATTGTAAGAAGACTGTTTTCGTGTATTGACAATCCGACAGACCTGAAACACTATGCAGCCATACGAATAGACATCCCAAGCTTTAGTTGGCTTCTCGTCTTTAGCTTCATCATCATCTTCATCTCCGTCTCGGAGAGCCTCTGGGGGCATCCAACGTACGTTTCCTGCGTGACAGGAGTTGAACGTAGCGTTCCCTGCCTCGGCAAGAACCATCGATAGACCAAAGTCTGCGAGACGGAGGCGACCGGTGCTGTCAACCAAAACGTTGGTCTGTCATTGAATTCAGCTACATACTACATGTGGATTGGGATAAGACCTACCGCTGTCAAGTCGCCGTGCACGATACCCTTGCCGTGCACTAAGTGGATAGTCTTCAGTAAAAGATGTGATCGCTACATCTGTTAACAACGAAACTCACGGTAACTAATACCGGCAGTTACCTGCCATACCTGAAATCATGGCTAAGTACAAGCTAGTGCAGTAGTCATTTGATACTTACAAGCTCTCGTTTTCCAGGGTCGGATAGTCTGGAAAACTTGCGCTTCAAGTAATCGTCCAGCGATCCTTCCTCCATCCATGGAGACACCAATGCTGGAAGTAGCCCAAATTCTTCAGCGAAAGTCACGCCCTCGAGAGGGAGAATGTGGTCGTGTTCCAGCTGGATCCAAACATAGGCCTCACGACGAACTTTCTGAGGAGTAGATGTATCAGCGAGTGGAACTGCGTGTCAATATCCACCCTAACCTTTCCTATCGCTTTCAATATCTTCGCATCTGTTACCGAAAGGACCCTGATAGATTTGACAGCGACCTTGATGATAATGAATGATGAGTTTTCTACCCATGTCTAAACTCACAGGGCGTTGGGTTCCAGATCGTGTAGTCATTAAACATTTCCAGATGTCACCAAGCCCTCCTGTACAGGTAGGAAAGTTGCCATCTCTTAGGATGTTTGTCGCAGGAATAAGGTCTGGTTCAATTTTGAATTGAACTGACTCCTGCCAATGCAATGATATAAGTATATCATCAACGTGGAAACATGGAAGCCATATTGACTGACGGGTGGGAGATCGCCCATTGCGAAGTAAAGCTAGATATCAGAGTTCAAAATGAGACAACTGGGATGTAGGAGACGAAACGGGCATCTCTATATATCACTACTGAAGAGACAAATCAGCCATGCTGTCAACCCAAAAATACCACGGCCATGAGGCCCTGCGACTGGTTGAGCCCGAAACCTAGCGCCTTGATAGCGAATGTAATGAAAACCCCTGAGAGGCTGTGTTATTCAATGGTCGTATACATCGGTGATTGGTATACTCCACATTTTCCATCAGACTCGGCGGAAGATAGTTTGCGATGCACATGTTTGATTATATGAATCCCTACCATGCATTCACACACATACAAGATTAACGCTCACCTATTCAAATCAAACCTTCGATCGAAATGTTATGCTTCAAAATTTATTATGCAAGTACATGCGTGGCGCTTGACAACTTTTTCCCAGTTATCGGTCGGAGGCAGACTCGAACCGGGCCAAGGACTGTATCACCCTGTGCGATGACTGAAGAGTGATGGCATTCCGCAATATCGAAGATCAGAACACTTCGAGCCGGAAACGATTTTGGGTAAGGCCGAGGGAATGTGTAGTAAAGCTGCACGAGATCAAGCTTCCTGTGTGTGAAGCAAGTTATATGGCTTTATGTGGCTTAGATCATGACGCTTGTCTTGTTATTAAAGGGTTGCGCCAGCCAGTTATTGTGTAGCGCCAGATCAAAAAGCTTTCACCTGTCATTGGCAGATACGATCAATATCAGAATACTAGTAGTAATAACGCCATGGATGATCATTTGAGTGCTGCGTGACCTGGAGAGAAATTAGCTAAGGGAGATGGTAAGAATTTTTTCCTCTTCAATAAGCGAGCTCGTCCCACTGGCCGACTGTCGAACACCTAGAGTATCAGGACCGGGGCGTCAAACATCACTTTTCAGACACTAAGCACGTACCTTGAATGAGGGATAACATAGTCTAACCATGATAAGCGTGCGGTTAACTCGGGAAACTACCCAGTCCCGACATCAAACGTTCTATGTAGAAATGCGGACCCTCGATAAAGCTGGACGGACAAGTGAAATAAAATTCTTGAAACGAACACTTGGGGTGGATTTTCCTCAGCATGTCTCATCTGAGGCCATAGTGCGACAAAGAGGTGTGACTGAGTATAACCATGAGGCTCCTTGGACTGCGTTCACGCGTTCGCCTTTCCTGAATCCCCAGTTGAAGAGCGAGCCATCTTAAATCTGGTGGAAAGCAATAAGAGAAACGGTATGTTCCTGCGGGGCAGTGCGGGTTATCCCGCGGCAAGTCTCGACGCTTGAAATTGGTCAGGGAGCGGCCAAGTGTGTAGATGAGTACACAGGATCACTGTTTTTACTGCCGTTTACGGACATCCCTTACATACCTTTAAGAACTTCCAGAGCGCTGAAGATTTCGGTTTGACTGTAAGCACTGCCAACCAGTGCGTTAGTGGAGTCCTTCGTGATGGTCTGATAGAAGACCCATATGTTTCTAAGAAGATTTCATCCATCGCGTGACAGAATATTTGGACTGCTGCGATATGTATTATGAAAGCATTCACGATTGGATGAGGTAACTATGGCACTCCCTGAGTCCCAACAGAGTTGTGTACCCGCGCCCAGATTTGGTGTCTTCTAATAACAATGTGGGCGTAATAATGACGAAATAAAGGCGTGTGCTGCAGTGGTGACCGGTGACGACGAGCGCTTTTAAAGTCGTGGGTGGAAGGAACTTGATGACGTCATTTACATAACGAAAGAACTTTCGTTAGTGAGCACTGCCACAGTGCGGCCTCGTGTTGGTACATCAAGCTTACATCTTGCAGTTTGTAGTATCAAAGTTCTACACAGACGGCATTAGTGATGGTGTGACAATTCACTGCCCCACCACGCGGTGTCTGTTGAGCGTCTGTATTCTCAATTATATACCTGCAGACCAACCGCTTCAAGCTAACAACGACATCGTCTCTACGGCTGCCTTTCGCCACCTCGAACGCTGTGGCCTAGCATTGCTGTTATCCCGTAATGGGCAATTGCTGCTCTCAAAAATCTGTGGTAAGTTCATGCCCTTGTATTCAATGTGAATAACAATCACAGATTACCCTCGGGCTTTGATAGAAGGGAAATGGCAGTCCCCAGCCTCCTCACCGAGTTGATTTCAAAATTAAGCCAGATAACATTCCTACGACAGAAGTCACAAAACTTGAGTCGTTTCCCAGTGGTACAGGAGGGCTCGGTGATGTCTGGAAGTGTTCTTGGTCTCGACCTCAGGTTGGAACATTTAAGGTAATTCTGCACTCGATCGAAAATTCACAATATCAACTACCTTTCAGGTTGCAGTCAAATCAGTCAGGGTTCCTCAAGCAGATGATACAGAACTGGTGAATAGGACGAGCAAGGTAGGAGCAAGAACGAACTGAAAGTCGTCGTGTTCACCCATTTTAACTCACAGAGGATTCGTCGCGAGGCTTATGTTTGGATCACCCTAGAGCATGAAAATATTCTTACTTTCAATGGTGTTGTTGATGGCTTCGGGCCACTCCCTGCCCTAGTTTCTCCGTGGATGGAAAATGGATCGCTTGATAGTTATTTGAAAAAGGGATGTGTTCCTTCCAAGACCGACAAACTGAGAATGGTATGCACCGTATCACAACATTCGGACGAGCTCTAACATGTCTTTAGTTGAAACAGATGGCGGCTGGCCTCAAGTATTGTGCATCTATATTTTTTCTGTATCTGGATCAGACATGCTCACCGACTTGTCAGTACACGACAACGAAGTGGTTCATGGCGATTTAACATGTGTACGTGTTAAAAGTCGTATCTCTGATGTCTTAGTATGACAACTCGATCTACAGACCAATGTTCTACTCAGCGCCGATGGGAAGCTCCATCTTGCGGACTTCGGTCTCTCAGTAATCCTTTCAGAATCACAAAACTCTACCTTCAATTCGTGCCACCAAGGAAATGTGCGGTGGATGGCACCTGAGATGCTTGCTTTACCTGAGCAAGGGGGAGTGGTCGTACCAACCAAAGCTGCCGATATATATTCATATGGTTGCATCATGCTTCAGGTGTGTTCCCCACCATTCGATTGCATGTCAGTTACTGTGCTGATCATGTGCAGCTGTTTTGTGGACGTGCACCTTACCTCTGGCTAACGCAAGCATATCACATCATTACTGCAAGAGTCTCAGGAACAGAACCCTTCCGTCAATTCACTGACATTGAAGATGTACACAAGGAGTATTCGTTGAAATGCATATCTGTCAGATCCGGAGATCGACCAGTGGCTTCCGCGATTGCGAAGTTCTTAGGAGCAGAGTAACAACAATACGATGAACTAGCTTAGGATGCTGTGTACTCGGAACAACATTCATGTGTTTCCTAATTTATCCTTGTTTACATACACTATGAAGATTGGTATTGCATGTAGTCTGCTAGCGCATTAGTATTGCTCCTACATAAATACAAATACAGCTAGTGAATCATACGACACTGAGAAGTGAGAGCGGACACGGAGCAATCTGATATATGGTAGGACACGCCCGGAGTTAACATAACAACAAGAAAGAGGATCACTTCAAAACCAAGACTTTATACAAACGAAGCCTCATTCAACAGTGCTTCTTGAAGATAATTTATTACCTCTTCTACTGACGGCCGAAGCTCACTCTCCGTTGACCAGCACCGCCGCATGAATTTCAGGTGATTACGCTGGATTTCGATGGAGGAGTCAACGGGCTCTGTGCGTTTGAGCTTAGCAGAAGTAACGTGCATGGCAGACTTCAGCCACCAGTAAGGCTTTTTCCCATATAGGACCTGCACGCAGGCGAAGTTAGTGTCACCAGTCAGCCAACGCGAGACCACGAACCTGAAGCATGATACCGCCGAGAGCGTATATGTCAGTGGATATCGTTGCGCATTGTATGGGTTGCTCTTCTGGGGGGTCAAGAAGCTCTGGAGCGACCCAACGTACTGCACCGGTGTGGTAGGAAAAGGCAGGGTTGGATTGCACCATGATATTGGAGATACCAAAATCTGCAAGACGAGGGGACCCGTCGGCAGCAACCAGAACATTACTCTACGATTATCATAAGATGATTCCGGTTGCATGGCATCTGTGAACTTACGTTGGTGAGGTCGCCGTGTATGACGTTGTGGTCGTGAACTGCAGAAAACAAAGTTATATTTGTGACATCCAAAGTTGATCCATCACTCACGATACCGGAGCCCCTCAGTAATTTGTTCAAGCTGTTTGAAAACGTAGTAAGTTCCCGTACTCGTCGTCGTGGATATGACTCACCAGCCGAAGCCTATTTATCATCGAGAGGGTCTCATGTACATGCTTAAGGTAAGAGTCCAAAGTCCCGTTGGGCATCCAGGGGGAAACCAATGCGCGAAATGGGCCGAACTGCTCTACAGTGCCATGTAAGGGCAATACATATTGATGCTTTAACGCGGCCCATATACGGATCTCGCGGTCAAGGTTCTGCGTCTCACAAGTTCATATGTGCCGCCATCAGACCGGCACCCAACATACCTTGTTGATTTTGACAATTTCAAGATCACTTAGACTTGGGAATCGTGGGGATTTGACCGCCACCTGAAGTCATAATCAGGATATGCAGAAAAAGCAAGTTCATGAAATACCTCATCAGAGCTTGCGCCACGGTTCCATTTACACTTGTAAACATCTCCCAAACCACTCGAGGCGGTTGGGTAGCTGGTTTCCCGGTGGATATCACTTGGATTGATACAGGGGACACTATTACTGTTCCATGTTTATAAAGTCCTGCTGAGGCAAAGAAATGACATACAAGTCCTCTGTATCATCGGAAGGCTGAACAGGAGATGTTTGGCCACCTGGTGCATGGCCAACCTGTTAAAGTGAGATGAATGGATGGCTCCATGGACAATGTCAACAAACGTACAAGACCATGCAGGAATTGTTGAACGCGATCGAGCATGTCGACGAGAAATCACAGTGGAAGATGGTCCTGTTCCCTAGCATCGATGAACTACAGTCTTATATGCAAAAAACACTAGTGCGACGATATCGCAAAGTTATCCTACCGATAATTACGGTGGAAAGAGGCTGCGTAGGGTTCAACCGAGGACACCACGACTAGTATTGGTCGAAGCAGCGCTGTAGATGAATTAGATCGATGATGAACGCTGGCCTTCCACTACAGACGCTCACGTTATTAGGCGTCGAGGGGAAATTCCACTTCCGATCTATGGCGGACAATGAGACATCTTGAAACGTGTTGTCAGGGATGTGAACAGCAAGTGAACAGCACTGGCAATACGGAAAAGAGCAGTCGCAAAGCCATATTCACTCTCGGCGGCTAAGATAATCCTCATGGAAAAGAGATAAGAGGTTCGAAAAATATGTCATGTTAGTTCTAACATCGCCTGCTACAAAACGATGTTAAAGCAAGTCAGTCGTTCTGCGAGGGTCAATGTTTGTTATTGGAGGCTTGAGCCAAATCGAAGCAATTAATGGCTTGAGCGTTGGCCTTGTCTGAGTCAGTCTTGACTGAGAAAAGCAACTGATGACTGACTGCACTGAATTGGCCCGTCCCATTCTACCTGCACCAATGATTTTCGAACCACTCGTTCATATAGTAATAAGGCATGCAAGGCGTCTTTAACGCTCGCACTGCATAGGACCTCAAAGAAACATTCCCATGTATGACAAGTTCTATTGGCAACTGGGCCATATTGAAACCGCACCTTGATCGTGAGGTTTTCATGCAATATGACTCATGCTCCAAGATATGGAACAGATCGGTGATGTAAGGTGACATGTCGTGACAGGCGAGGGTAAGGTTCCGTAGTTCTGATTCTTGTTTAATTCGATCATCCAGCGTTGATTCGCGGGTTTCTGCCACCGAACCCTTGAGCAGGTCAGTCCTCCGCCTTGATCAATCATGAATAATTTCCTTCGTTTCAAATCACCAATATCTGCACCTAGAGGTTTGGGGCTTGCATAACAAGACTCGCATCCCCTGACTATCATGTAGACACTGGCTTTTAGCTCATGTATGGTATGAGTCACCTGCACAGGGAAAAACCTTGAAGGTTTTGCACGCAGACCTAAAATGAACGTTTGCAGCATGTAAACCAATACTAATTTGTACATACCTTCATGATCATCGCTCCAAGGGAAGTTTCAGGACATTGCCGGACACTAGTTGCTAATAGTACCATGTTGAATAAAGTGGTAGTGATCGGCTGGCGCACAAGATCCACTGTGGTGGCAAGAAGTTAGTCAGGGTTAGTTAGTCCCGTGGTACAGAGAGGCACCTATTGATCTCTCGGGCAACCAGCCAAACAAAATAAGTATTGGAAAATAAACTTACCAATGCGCATCAACGCTCATGCATACAGACTCCGAAGTTGGAACCTAGCGACATAACGCAACACTGGCAAGAAGCGCGACTCCCAAATATTCAACACTATCTCTCCGAGAACATCGTACCATAGATCTCCTCCCGTACGGAATCAGTGTCGGCCTTTCCCCGACATCGTGCTGATGGGGGGTCCACGGAGTGCACGTTTACCGTATATTCAACATGTCATACTACATACACACTTACGATAGATAAGCGGCCCCCGTGAATATATCATAGGCTACATCCGGCATGGGTCTTCAACTCGAAAGGACAACAAATTTTTTCTTTAAAAGAAAAATGCCCACTGAATCATGCGTTGGAATGCTGAGTGGACACAACTGCAGTGACCAATCTATACAAGTCCAACATGAGATAAGTAGAGGCGACTTGCTGAAAAATTCGAGCATACATAATAGTAGGAATGCACCTCACCACCGTGAAACCTCAACGTAAAAATGATATCATAAATCGATTGGCGATCGATCAGCTCTGTGTTTGTTTAACTAGCGCAGTAATATGATCTGATCCTAAGAAGTTCAGAACATCAACGGCAGAGGGGCGACGTCCTATATCACCCCAGCATTTTTCGATGAAATCCCAGAAAGAATCTGCGTCGTGCGGACTCAATGGCCTTGTAGGCTTCTTACCCTTCAGTATCAGGACAATGACTTGGTGATCGCTTCGCACATCTGCGTAAGGTGGTCTGCCTGTCATAACCTATGGAATCTTTAGTCGCAAACTAACGCAACCACTAGGGAACGCCTCGAACCTGAAGCATGATGCATCCGAAGGAATAGATATCGCTGGCTGGTTGTGGAGTCAATGATTCTTCGCTCTCGGGGACCTCGAAGAGTTCTGGTCCAGCCCACCGCACGTTGCTTCTGATGTATGAAGTCCCTGAGAGCTCAGAACACATGGTAAGAATTCCATGGTCTGCTACGTGGACATTGCGGTCTGAGTCTATCAGAATGTTGTTCTGGCGTTTCAGATCAGAACTAGAAGGCAAGTATCAGACGACTAGTACATACGGCGGTAAGGTCACCGTGGACAACGCCCTTCGAGTGGACTGTAATGCTATTACGTATTGTTTTCACAAACTATTAAAGATTCCACATACGGTAGCTGATGGCTGCAGCGACTTGCCGTAACTAAAGTTCCAATGAATACCATGATGTAACAGCACTTCTGAGAAACAACTCACGATCAGGAGCTTTTGTTTGATGGACAATTCTGTGAAATGGTGTTCAAGATATGTAGTGAGCGAGCCGTTGTGTATCCAGGGAGAAACCATCGCTGGAAGTAGCCCAAATTCACGACTGAAACCGAGCAAAGGCAAAAGATTTTCATGATGCAGTTGCTTGCGTGCACGAAAATCGCCCAAGAGTCTCTATGAAGACATGAGGCTTGAATAAGCGCATCACATACAAAGGGGAAACCGATAACGTACTTGAGTAACTCGGGCCCTGAATTCGTCACCTGCGACATCGATCCTTATAGATTTGACTGCCACCTGTCATGGATTCAGATTGCCGGACAGTCATACGTGTAGCATGCTTGCCTCCAGGCCAGGCCGGTTGGATGCGATATAGGTGCATTTCCACACATCCCCGAAACTACCGTGCGCTATTGGATGAGGCGAGTCCTTGGATACAAATCCCGTAAGGTCGGGCAAGCTGCATGAAAAGTCGCATGAAGAAGTGCATGGCCACAAGGTATTATGGACTTACTGGTTGTCGGGGTCTATCCCACTATCACTGGTGACAGATGGGCTGCTTCTCCACCACAACAGCTTCCTCCTGACATTCTCTAACCAAGACCTGCAGTGGGACAAGAAAGGTTGGATCATTTAGGTTAGTAGACTCATGAGTGTGGTCTTTTAACGAGGCAGGTTGAGCGCAGGAATAAGAAGACAATAGTATATTAGTACCTCCTTTTACAAATATGAATAGTTGGAGATTATTTGGCCAACAATCAAAAGTCGCGCTATAGCTAGACGTCCTCCGTTTCTTCCATTGGATCAACCAATAACCGGCTGACTTTATCCGATGGGCTCCCTTATAGCAGCGCTACCCGCAACAATAGTCGCTTCTTTGCCGCTTGAATCACCTTCCGCGTTCCGCCTCGTCGTGCAGAGGTAAATGAATCGACCAAGTAGACGGAATTTCCCGTTTGAATGGGCGTTAATAATCATAAATTTTCGTTCTCCGCCAGGGTGACTACAACATGGACACATTGATATGAACGAGTCGAGTCCTGCGGTGTTTTGCCTTGAGACATACACATTGCTAGAACAGAACAGCCTGCATGATATTATATCATTTCATTCATTCGCAGGAGACAGATAGAACGGTCGTACTGCCACAGTTTAGGCACATGATTCCAACACAACCAGGTAGGGGTTGGCAATATAGCAAGCCTTGGAGTGTGCGCATCGAATCGTGGATCTCCCAAGCTGGCTCTCCTAAAATCGATGAACCCCCATATGTTTAATGTGCACGGAATCGATTACCAAACTTGTCTGATACAAAAACATGAGTTAACACATAGCATCTCTATAGCGATACATTAAATCTCGGACATCAACAATAGGAGGTCGTTGTGATGACTCAACCCAACATTGCTCGATAAAGTTCCAGTGACAATCTTCGATGGCAGGGATGTCTGGACGCTTAGGCTTCACACCTTTGAGGATGGCCACAACCACCTGGTGATCACTGCGAATGTTACAGTATGGCTGCTTGCCCGATAAAACCTGACATAAATGAGAACAAGAGCGCTGCAAATACACGTTGTCGACAGACCTGGTATGCGATGCATCCAAATGAATAAATGTCACTTTCTAGTTTTGGTGAGCTAGATGCATCCTCGGTGTCCGGAACTTCGAAGAGCTCAGGCGCAGACCATCGTACATTACTCCTGATGTAAGAGGTCCCGTTCAGGTCGGAACATGTAGTCAAGAGCCCATAGTCTGCTACAATAGCTCTTCCGTCTTTATTGATGAGCACATTGCTCTAAGAGGAAACGGAGACGTGAGCAGTGTCACAAATCTGCATACCACAGTTGCTTACACCTGTGAGATCCGCATGAACCACCCCCTTAGAGTGGACTAGGCACAATATACTGTCAGCTTATCTTAATGCAATGCAAAAATGACATGGCATACGATATTGAAGACCAGCAGCTACATCAGCGAGCTGTTATGGCGCTCGTGAGTTGTGGTGCAGCTAATGATCATCGAGGAATACTTACCAAACTGAACTTGTGAGCCCCAGAGAGGCTGTCATAATTTTTACCAAGATACGTGCTCAAGGATCCATTGGTCATCCATGGAAATACGATGGCTGGTACTGGACCAAATCCGTAGGTAATCCCGTACAAGGAAAGAATGTTATCATGACGCAGTAGTTTCCACTTGCAGAAGTCATCCATTAACCTCTGCAAATATATTCATATCATTAAAGCGAGTGTTCTACATCATATCGGCCCACCTCGCTGACGATTTTCTTGAAACTGTCATCCTGAATTTCGATCCTGACACATTTAACCGCCACCTTAAAACTTATCATCAGACGTCAGAATTTACCACGAAACTCATACCAACCTCCACATTGTTATCTTTATCTGAGAACACGCACTTCCATACATCACCGAAACTGCCCTGGGCAGTAGCATATGCCAATTCCTTCATGACCTTCATGGTGAGGTCGACCGGGCGTCTAAATCAGTTGAAATTTTTGGCAAATGAGTCAGCTTTGTTCAAGGTACAGCCCTACGTCCACTCACTCGTTATCATTGGAGTTTACATCCAGGTGTGTCGCGCCCGACGTTTCTGTTTCCGGTTGGACTTTCCGCCATTTCTTAGGCAGCACACTCAGGCTGAAGATCCACGCGGAAAGAGTATTCATCTGTCGCCCTGGCAACGCAATGAGGTCGAAATCTTATAGGCCCGGGGCAGTTGGGGTAACCACAGAACGAGGATAAATACTAAACTTTGCGAGATTCCTGCCCTTATATCGACGTTTGAGAGGCTGCTGGCTGTAGTAGATACTAGAAACCAAGGCGCTACATTGATGAGAGTATTTACCACGACTACAGGAATATGCCGTGGCAGGAACGTAACTGTCTTCTGTAGTGCTTCCCATAGGCTACCAATCAGAATTCGAAATGCTTGAACTGCTCAAGGTTCCTTGGTCTCAGTTATGTCCTGTAGTGTATCAGAATGCACAATGCCCAGAGACTCCGACAGGACTTCCATACCCTTGGCTATGGTCAACGAATAGAGGATCTCCCGACCAAATGGAATTCAATGCTCCGATGCTCGCGCAGTAACGTTGATTATATCACAAAATTTCGGTGCCGATCAGCGATATGCCATACAACTAATTATGCGAGTGCAAATGGAATCCTCGTTCCTTAGCAGTCCATAAAATCGAGGTAAGTTCCTAATGATACAGGAAGCAATACACATACTTGAAGCATAATTTCTACATAAAATTTGATACCACATCGCCTTGATCATAACTCGGAGAATTATTACCACTGCAGAAGACGCACTTTGTCAATAGCCACACCTTCTTTGATTACTGGCTAGTTGTAAAAGACGTAGTCGCTTAAGACTCTGTGTTATACATGAGCACGTTGACAAACCAAGAAAATGGGTATCAGTGTTATTCGGCCGAATACCACTCACGTACATCCTGCATGCATTGCAGTCCAAATGTAGATTTGTTATATCTCGCTAAACCATCGCAGAATCTGAGTTCACTATATCGTAACTCATGACTAATAACAGTTCAGATAAAGAAGAATGGCGTACAGCATCAACATTCAAAGTTACATCATGCAGAGCTACTATATAAAGGTATCGACAACGAGCTGTGGTGTTGTTATAGCGGGTACGACTCGACAATCAGCACACATACCGTAAAGATGATCCATGAGTTAACGAAGTGGCGGGATTTCGGACTTATTTGAGTTTAGAACAATATAAGTGTATACAACACAACGGAATAAGCCAAAAATGTAACGCACCTCTATTGTGAGTTAATAAGACGAAACGTTCACCTAATCTCTCTCGCTCATATTCCTATTCACAACATGTGGGAGGGCGAGTAATGCACATGGCAGAGAGGAATGATGTATTAGTGACAATTGGGGAGGAGAGCGCAGTATGAGGTAGTTTGCTGAAGATTTGGGATCTTGGGAAGACGGACAAGAGAAACCAAGCACCAGTGTTACTGAAATCTTCCAAGGTCCAGCCTAGCAACAAGCCTCATCCAGTGAGTGACTCACTACATTCAGCTTTCGCTCGGTGAGTTCGTAATTCAGGTCTCTTGCTTTGCACTTTCTTCTGCGCTGTCTTTCCTTGCCATCGGCTTGGCCGACGGGACGGTGCTACTTTACAGGCATCTGGACCAGCCAATGTCTTCCACAACGTCCCTGACTACACTCCCTAATACACGCATCATCCATGAATCATCCCCTGAATCTATCACTGGCCTTGGTTTCCGAGAATTTTCGGGTCCCACTAATGCCGATGCTAAGGATAACAACTTGCACCTTTTCATTGTGACTACGAACTCGGTATACTTGTACCACGTGTCCGGCAAAGGGGGCAGAGTATCCAGCGTGTTACTAGACGATATTGGATGTGGACTGGGATATGTGGTGATGGATTGGCGCGCCGAGAACATCGTGCTTGTGAGAGATGAGGAAGTATACACGTATGGTTTGCAGGGGAGGGAGCTGCCATATGGTTATGAAGGTGAATGGATTGGTACAAATTTAAGTCCTGGGAGGTGATGTTACGTCTTTCACAGGCTACAAGTCGTCGATCCACACCCACCTTAACTATGTGATATAGTTGTTTTGGTCACCTGCTACGCGAAAGCTTGCAGCACGAGTGGCAGGTGGTGACGGTGATGCGTCGAGGGTGACTGCATTTGACATGGAGAATAAGGTAGGTTGATATACCAGGGTGTTTGCGAAGGATATCAGAGAGGTGATCTCGGAGTGGGGAAATATTTGCATTCTCACAAATAATGGGCAGGTGCGTCCTAACAATGTTCAGAATTGTGCATTGCTTTTTAATCCGACGTCACTGCCCTTGCAAACTCTCCATGCTGTACGCAAAGGCTCTATACCCACTTGCACTGAGTCTCGCGCAGACACAACACCTTGGCGAGAGCTACGTGATATTCACCGTCAGCACGGTGACAACCTCTACACGAAAGGAGATTGTGATGGCGCGATGACGTACTATCTGAAGGCGATAGATTGGTTGAAACCGAGCTACGTCGTTAGAAAAGTCAGTGTTTTTTTCAACACAATAGGTCTGACGATGGTGGTGCAGTTCCTGGACGCTTAGCGCATTCACAACCTTGTTACCTATCTGCAAGACCTACATGCCCTTGGCCTCACAAACGCTGATCATAGCACTCTTCCACCACTCTTCTGCTTAATACCTACACCAAACCCAGAGACGTTGCACGCTTAGACAGTTTCATTAAAACAGAGTCTCGACGTTCTGGTGCGGCAGAGTCGAACGGCGACCTTCCATTTGACCTGGACTGTAGGCAGGCAGTATACTTTACTCATGCCAGCTACCTTGCGAAGCGCTATAAGCGACACGAAGAATACTTGAGGGTTATGGTTGAGGATGCTGGGGAGTATGAGGAAGCATTAACATATTTGAGACACTTGGGAGCAGCCGCGGTAAGTTCAATCTTCGTTATTTTTATTTTTATCTTTTTTCCTGTATGAGGCTAATACATTTATATAGGCGGAAAGTAACCTCGCTAGGTACGGACGCGCTATGCTAGATAATATTCCAGAGGAGACGACGCAGCTCCTTATTGATGTTTGCACCATTTCTGGACCCCTCACCATCCCCGAACCAGAGGATACCATTCCATAACAGTCGAGCACACCAGCAAACGCTCCATCGTACCTTGCCCTCTCCCGTGCACCCGCACCTGAAGATAAAGTTGAGGAATCCAAAGCGGACAAAGAGGACCTCACAGGGCCTCAAACAACGCAGCCAAGCGCACCAACACCATCCAAAGAGAAACTGCCTTCCCCTACACTCTATTTCGCGCATTTTGTTGATCACCCGTCATATTTTGTCCGTTTCCTAGCAAGCGTAGCTGCACGTTGGTGGGGACAGTCACTCCTCTTTCTTTCAAACACTAGTTCGGATAACAACGAAGACCTGGGGAAGCACAATCAGGCAGCAGTTTGGAACACGTTGCTTGAGCTCTACCTTGACGGGGGCTCTCCAGAACAACAAGAAAAGGCACTCAAAGTTCTGACGAGCGACACCTTACCGCGCGACAAAGCACACGCATTGATTCTTTAGAGCAGCTACAGCTATACCCGAGGTCTGGTCATACTTTGGGAGAAGCTGGGCATGTTTGAGGACATTTTACGGTTTTGGATGGACAAGCACAATGCGAATCTTCCGCGTCAACAGAGGTCCCCTTGTACGAATATTGCGAAACACACCCTCACCTCTATGAGCTGCTGCTGCGCTTCTTGACAAGCACGCCGGAGCTGCTCACGCGGCACCAGGCGGATGTAGAGAAGATTCTGGAACATATCGAGAAGGAGCGGATAATACCTCCGCTTGGTGTAGTCCAGATACTGAGTAGGAATGGGGTAGCGAGCGTAGGCCTCGTTAAGGACTGGCTGATGGGACACATCAAGGAGGCAAAGGAAGAAGTGCAAACTGTGATTTCTTTACATTTCTTTCTCATTTTCGCGCTGATGATTTTTCGCGTGATAGGTCCAGCAACTGATCAGCTCCTACCGGCTGGAAGCGAATGCGAAGTTGAAGCAAGTGGCTGAACTAGAGGGCCCCATGCATGCAAAGGGGTTTAGTGTGACGCGCTGTTCTCAGTGCAGCGGGCAGCTCAATCTTTCCAGTGTCCATTTCATGTGCAACCGCTTACATCATTAGCGGTATGCGTTTCGCTTACTTATTAATTGACTGAACTATGTTTTTCCTCGAAACCTTTTCTGGCTATCTCGTGATGGCAGTGCTAACATACATTATAGGTCCCTGCTAGACCACGAAATCGAATGCCCGCTTTGCGTACGCCAACATGGAATCATCCAGGAGATTCGGGGGAATCACGAGATCAAACACGAGCTCTTCCTCGCGGATGTACAAGATAATGGGTTTAAAGCGGTTGCGGCTGGATTTGGCAAGGGGGTGCTAAATATGACTCGGTTGGACGATAACCGGTATTGCGCCGTGCCATACTTCTACCACATGATCTGCATCTATTATGGTATTCAATAATAAGTTATCAAATCAATGTCGTTCATAAGCTCGGGGTTGATCCACAAGCGATGGGGTATTTGCAGATTTCTCCACACATTGATTACTCGTCCTTCCATGAATTCTTCTTCAGCCGACAGACGTTCCATGTCTCCTGACCCTTCAAACTTGAAGCGAAATCCCTAGTTTGGCCGTTGTTCCATGTCCATTCAACAATGAGACTTTGTCCTTGAGATCTCGAGACTATGGAGATCAGTGAATCAGTATTGCTGATCAACACGCACCTAAATCATGGTCCTTCCGAGATCAAACTTCTTGGGGAAAATACCGCCAATACTAATCGAACCACAATCGAGAATCCACAATCGGTGAGGTCAAGTTTTTTTTTCATCTTTGTCAACAGAACGGTAGGAACTTATGAACTTTATACTTGAATACGCACGCTCATAACTCAAATTTCCGTGGATGAAGCTCAATATGATAGATCATGATCAGGATTCAGGACGCAAGTTCCCCTTATCGTATGAGTGGTCTTACAGTGGATAGAACAACACGAGTCGTATAGGCGCCGCCTCGAGTTGTTATCATAGATGGGATAGACTCGGAACCATTTCATGAGCGCATACTTCTCAGCGCTCACATGATCAGACGACAGGCAGCATTTGCTAACAAAGAATTGGTTATCAAGATTCACATTCCATCGCAGGGTTGGCCGGTGCTTCGCAAGCTGTTTAGGCCAAAGTTTTAATTGATAGTTGACCACGCCTCAAGACTTTCTCCATTTGATGCGTTTAGAGATGGGCGTTTATGTAGTGGATGGAGTCAGTATCTAGCATGAATTCGATCCATACTAATTGTGGCTTCCTGTGTGCCCTCTGGAAATTCTACTTACCGGAGCTATCGATGGATCGCGATATCAGACGTAACTGTTATAGTTCTTGGGTATAAGACGAAAAACCACTGTTGCTAAGAAAGTACATCCGCATCCTCTTGTGCCTGTACTTATCCTATCGATATGCCGGCTCTCACTCTGAAGACTATTGCACGTCAAGTCCCTCTTTACCTTCATCGATCCAGCTCACCATCTCCACTACTCAGACATCCGAGTCAACGTACGGTTCGTTCATTGTGGACGCAGGCATTAAAACCAGCCAAACCATAATTCCGACTGCTTCGGGTGGACTTGCAGATGTCTACAGATGCATATTGCTCGGCGACGCGAGTCTGGAAGAAGTATGCCACGCATTGATCTTCTCCATGCTTACGCTCACCTACGCTGAGGTTGCAGTGAAATACCCACGGTATTCAAGTCTTACAGACGCCGTAATTGACAAGATAAATCATGTATGTTTGGGTAGCCTCCGAAAGCTCCGCTCGTCTGAATTTCTTTGGAACACAGAATCTTGAACGCGAAATCAAGATCTGGACCAGATTAAATCATCAGTATGTATTGTGCTTGCGTGGCACCGCAACAGGTTTCGGTATATTTCGAGCATTGGTTTCCCCCTGGATGCCGAACGGGACGTTGAACTTCTATCTTACTCATAAGAATAAAACCCTTGCGGGGATGGACAGGCTTCACATTGTAAGTTTCTCTTTCGATGCCGATTACTGGAGCTTACTGTTTCTCAAAGCTTAAACAGATTACCGAGGGGCTCAAATATCGTAAGTAACATATTGGCTCGGAGACGACTGGCTTTACTGTATACTGCGGGCAGTCCACGACAATGACGTGATTCACGGCGATCTGACCAGTGTAGGTTTACCTACATTATACCTTTCGTGACCCACTGATGATTTTTATAGAAAAATGTCCTAATTGCTGTTGATGGGTCCCCGCGTCTTGCAGACTTCGGTGTTTCGAATATCATGGTTCAATCTGACCCGGCATTCTCCTTCCACAATGGCGCAGTTTGTTGGGCAGCTCCAGAACTCCTCTTCCCGGAAGGTGAAACCGTGCCATGTGCCACCAAATCCAGTGATATATATGCTCTTGGGTGTATCATGCTCGAGGTCAGTGTCTCATTTGCGTTTTTTTTATGACGCTGACACGGTATTCGCAGGTATTATACACCAAAACACCCTACTGGTGGATCAAGCAAGCCCACCAAGTCATAGCATCAAAGTGCAGAGGCCAAGAGCCCATTTTGAAAGAAAACACCATACAAATTCAAAAACATCATCTGGATTTCATGCAGCAGTGCTGGTTAATCGACAGTAAGAATCGTCCATCAGTGGAGGGGGTACTGGACTTTCTCGAGAGAGCTATCTCTAACGGGGACCCATCTACATAACGTTGCTGCTCGGAGCTGGTTCATTCTCATCTTTTTTTGTTATAGCTACCTCATTGGCATAGTATATAGTGTCCAAGTATGTAATACATGATGGCATATCCACAATTCAAAATTTTAACAGTATGAATAATGATATTTTGCAAGAGCAGAATTATATCCTGCTACAGTTCGCACGGGTACAATATCAAGGTCTCATCAATTCACTGATGTCTCAGATCTGGTAGAAAGTGATAAGAGAAAGGGTATATTCCTGCAGGTTATCCTGCAGCAAGTCTTGACGCTCAAAAATCTGATCAGGGAGCGGCCAACTGTGTATATTAGTACGCAGGATCCGCCGGCCACGGACATGCCTTACTAGTAGATACCTTTGAGAACTTCCAGAGCGCTGAAGAATTCTGTTTTACAATAGGTGATACTTGCAACCGGTGCAGCGTTAGTAGAATCCTTCGTAAGATTCTGATAGAAGACTTGCATTTTTCCACAAAGATTTCATGCATCGCGTGACATGAAAGTATGCGGCATCTTGCATCGAGGCGACTGCGGGAAGAACACTCCCGAGTCCCGACAGAGTCTCGTGTGTTCGGTGCACCTGCACGCGGGGATCTTCCGGAAGGAGCTTGATAACAACTTTGCACTGCTAATACTCCCCGTCACGGAGTTGTCGAGTTTCCGAAACAAATTTTCACCCAAACTGGCATTGATGATACGGTCTGAACGTTGAACCCCACTACGCGGCGTCTGTTGAGCGTCTGTATCCTCTGTTATATACCTGCAAACCAACCGCTTCAACAATGGAATCGCACGGCTGCCTTTTCCTTTTGTCACCTTGAACACTGTGGCCTAGCACGGTTATTATCCTGCAATGGGCAATCTCTTTTCTACAAATTCTGTGGTATGTTCTGCCCTTGTATTCAATGTGAATAGCAGTCACAGGGAAACCGCCAGCATTCTCCCCCAGTTAATTTCAAAACTGAGCCATACAATATTCCTGCGACAGAACTCAAAAAACTCCAGCTGTATGCCAATTGTGCAGGAGGGTTCGGTGATGTCTGGCTGTATTCTTGGTCTCGGCGACGACATCCAGTTGGAACGTCCAAGGTAATTGTGCACTCGATCAAAAATTCACAATATTAACTACTTTTTAGGTTGCGGTCAAATTAATCAGGGTTCCTCAAGCAGATGATACGGAACTGGTGAATAGGACAAGCAAGGTGGGAGCATGAATGAACTGAAAGTAGTTGTATTCATCGATTTCAACTCACAGAGGATTCGTCGCGAGGTTCATGTTTGGATTGACCTAGAGCATGATCATATTCTTACTTTCAATGGTATCGTTGATGGTTTGGGGCCACTACCTGCCTTGGTCTCTCCATGGATGGAAAATGGATCACTCGATAGTTATCTAAAACAGGGACCTGTTCTTTCCAAGGCCGAGAAACTGAGAATGGTACGCACCATATCTTGCATCACCGTGGGACGCGTTCTGACATGTTTTCAGTTGAGACAGATAGCGGCCGGCCTCAAGTATTGTGCATCTATTTTTTTTTCTGTATCTGGATCAGACATGCTCATCGACTTGTTAGTACACGACAAAGGAGTGGTCCATGGCGATTTAACATGTGTATGTGTTAAAAGTCGTGCCCAAGATGTCTCGTTATGACAACTCGATCTACAGACCAATGTTCTAATGAGTGCCAATCAGACGCTCCATCTTGCGGACTTTGGTCTCTCAGTGGTTCTTTCAGAGTCACAAAACTCCACCTTCAATTCGTGCCACCCAGGAAATGTGCGGTGGATGGCGCCCGAGTTGCTTGCTTTACCTGAGGAAGGGGGAGTGGTCATGCCAACCAAAGCTGCCGATGTTTACTCGTATGGTTGCATCATGCTTCAGGTGTGTTGTTCCCCATTCGATTCTACGTAAGTTACTGTGCTGATAATGTGCAGGTGTTTTGTGGATGTGCACCTTACCTCTGGCTACCGGATGTGTTCCGCGTTATTGCGGCAAGACTCACAGGAACAGCACCCTTCCGTCATTTCCGTGACATCGAGGACGTACACAAGGAGTTTTCGTTGAGATGCATAACTGTCGATTCCGGAGGCCGACCAGTAGCTTCTGAGATTGTAGGGTTCTTACCAACAGAGTGACAACAATATGAATGAACTAGCCTAGGATACTATGTACTCGGAACGACATCTATGTGCTTCCCGATTTATCACTGCCTTGTTTACATACACTATGAGGACCGGCATTGCATGTAGTCTGCTAACGCATTAGATTTAGTATTGCTCCTACATAAATACAAATACAGCTAGTGTATCATACACATACGACACCGAGAAGTGAGAGCAGACACGGAGCAATATGATATATGATAGGAGACACTTGAAGTTAATTTATCACCCCTTCTACTGATCAATGGACGAAGCTCGCTCTTCGTTGACCAGCACCGCCGCATGAAATCCAGGTGATTAGGCTCGATCTCGACGGTGTTAATGGGCTCTGTGCGCTTGAACTTGGCAGAAATAACGTGTACGACAGACTTCAGCCACCAGTAAGGCTGTTTCGCATAGTCAACCCACCACCCACGATATTAGAGCCCCTCGGCAATTTGTTTGAGCTATTGAAAACGTAGAAAGTTCCCGTACTCGACGTCGTAGACAAAACTCACCAAATCATGACAAAACATAAGCGGTCGATATCACATGCAGCTGTAAAGTAAAGTCTGTTCCTCCGAGAGCTCACAAGATGGCCACTCTCGTGCTAACTGCAGGCTGACAGCAGTTGACTTGGATTCCAACAGAGAAAATGTTACTGACACGGACGAGACGGATGACACGAAAAACCGCCGCAGCGCGTCATTATTCAGTATGTGTGTTGCCGGTATGTCTCGACAACTGAGTGAAGTTGATTCAGCAGCCTGCTAGCGCCCAGTTTGAAAGGGCATGGTGTTTTGAGAATAGTTCCGAGTCTACGCTAACCGTTGCACAATAATAGTTTGAATTCCGATAGTACGCACTCTACAGGTAACAAGGAACAGATATAACATCATGGTCACCGTGCAGCATCTTACAGGACTATAGAACTTTATCCTACAAAAGCGAGTTGTAAACACTTAATCGTGTAGCAATACCCTCCAACCTTGTCACTATAATTGGTACACACTATCATGGGATCTCACTACATGACAACGCTTATCGTGACCCCAGACGTCTCATGACATCGTCCATCGTCGGGCGATTGGCTGACATCTTATGCAAGCACGGTGAGAATTGTTGATACACCGCATGGCTCTCTATGTCCTTGAAAGGGGCACGTCCCTTGTATATCGCGCCCGTAACATGTGAAACACTTGTTATCCATGCGTAGGGCTTATTCCCAAAAAAGATCTTGGACTATTGTTAGAAGACTGTGTTCGTGTATTGACAATCCGACAGACCTGAAATACGATGCAGCCATACGAATAGACATCCCAAGCTTTAGTCGGCTTCTCGTCTTTAGCTTCGTCTTCGTCTTCATCTCCACTTCGGAGAGCCTCGGGGGGCATCCAACGTGCGTTTCCTGGACGACAGGAATTGAAGGTGGCGTTTTCTGCCTCGGCAAGGATCATCGATAGACCAAAGTCTGCGAGACGGAGGCGACCGGAGCTGTCAACCAAAACGTTGGTCTGTCATTGAATTCAGCTACACACTACATGTGGATTGGGATAAGACCTACCGCTGTCAAGTCGCCGTGCACGATACCCTTGCCATGCACTAAGTGGATAGTCTTTAGTATACGGTGCGATCACTACATCTGTCAACAACGGAACTCACAGTAACTAATACCAGCAGTTACCTGCCATACCTGAAATCATGGCTAAGTATAAGCTAGTGCAGTAGTCATTTGACACTTACAAGCTCTCGTTTTTCAGGGTCAGACAATTCCGAAAACTTATGCTTCAAGTAATCGTCCAGCGATCCTTCTTCCATCCATGGAGACACTAATGCTGGAAGTAGCCCGAATTCTTCAGCGAAAGTCACGCCCTCGAGAGGGAGAATGTGATCGTGTTCCAACTGCATCCAAACATAGGCCTCACGACGAATTTTCTGGAGAAGATGTATCAGCGAGTGGAACTGCATATCAATTTCTGCCCTAACCTTGCCTATCGCTTTCAATATCGTCGCATCTGTTAATCCGGGGACCCTAATAGATTTGACAGCAACCTTGATTATGATAAATGGCAAGTCTTCTACCCATGTCTAAACTCACGTCGCGTTGGGTTCCAGATGGTGTAGTCATTGAGCATTTCCAGATGTCACCGAGCCCTCCTCTACAGGTAGGACAGCTGCTATCTCTTGTGATGTTTTCCCCAGGAATAAGCTCTGGTTCGATTTTGAATTGAACTGACTCCTGCCAACGATATTAGTATATCATCAACGTGGAAGCAATATTGACTTACGGGGCGGAGACCACCCATTGTGAAGTCAAGCTAAAACTCAGAGTTCAAAATGACAGGTGCTAGGCAACTGCGATGTAGGGGACGAAGCGAGCATCCTTATATACCACTGCTGAAGAGACAAATTAACAATGCCGTCAACCCAAAAATACTACGACCATAAGATCTATGGCCTGTTTGAGCCTGAAACCTAGCGTCTTGATAGCAAGTATGATAGAAAATTCTGATGGGCTGTGTCATCGATGGTCTTGTCCATCAATGATTGATATACTGTACATCTTTCATCAGACTCGGCGGAAGATATCCTGCGATATACATGTTTGATTACATGGATCCCTAGGGTGCATTTTACACACGTACAAGATTAACACTCAAGCATTACATTCCTAGTTGCATACCTTTCTCGCGACTTCCCCATCCAAAGCTACGATGGAAGTAGCATATCCAAATTCATTATGCAATACACGTGTGCCGCTTGATCGTTTTTTGTTCCAGTTATCTATCGGAGACAGATTCGAACCGAGGCAAAGACTGTATCACCCAGTGCGATGACTGCGGAAACGGTATTGGGTAAGGCCGAGGATCTCGTGTATATAGTCCTGCACGGGATCAACATTCCTGTGTACATCAAGCTATATGGCCTTTATGTGGCTAGATCATAGCGCCTATCGTGTCGTTAAAGGGTTACGCCAGTGATTGTGTAGCGCCGATCGTAAAGCTCTCACCTATCATTGGCAAATATGATCAATACCGGAACACCAGTTGTAACAACATGATCTGAGTCCTGCGTGGCCTAGACCGGGATGGTGAGAATTCTTTTGTCTTCGATGAGCGAGCTCATCCCACTGGTCGACCGTCGAACACCTAGAGTGTCAGAACCGAAGCGCCAAGTACTACTTCTCAGACACTAAGCACATACCTTGGATGCATTCTAACCGTGATAGGCGCGCGCTTAACTCGGGAAACCATACAGTCCCGACATCAGACGTTCCAGAATCTATGCAGGAATTTGAACCGCGGATAAAGCCGGACGAGTGCAATTTTTGAAACGAACGCTTGGGCTTGATTTTCCTCAGCATACGCCTCATTCGAGGTTAAAGAAATCTAGTGTGACAAAAAGGTGCGACTGAGGAAAAAACATGAGGCTCCTTGAACTGCGTTCTTTCTTGAATCCCCAGTGTTGAAGAGCGAGTCATCTCAGATCTGGTGGAGAGCAATAAGAGAAACGATGTGTTCCTGTGGGCCATGATCCCGCAGCAAATCTCGACGCTCAAGAATTCGGTTTGATAGTAGGCACTGCCAGCCAGTGCATAATTAGTAAAAACCTTCGTGATAATCTGATAGAAGACCTAGTAATAGTATTATTTTTTTTCACAAAGATTTCATCCATCGCGTGACAGAATATTTGATGAGCGCTGAGTTCAAATAGAGTCTAGGCTAACGGCAGCTGCCGAGAGAATTTTGCACTGCCACAGTGCGGCCTGTACATCATTGCGGCAGTTTTTGAATTTGCTATCAGCGTTTCAGTCAGACTGGCATTGATATTGTAATGATGACAATTCACTGCCCCACTACGCGGCGTCCGTCGAGCGTCTGTATTCTCAATTATATACCTGCAGAGTCCAGACCAACCGCTTAACACCGACATCATCTACGCTTGCCTTTCGCCACCTTCAAGTTGAACGCTGCGACCTAGCCTTGTTATCCTGCAATGGGTAATTGCTGTTCTCAAAATGAGGTAAGTTCGTGCCCTTGTATCAAATGTGAATAACAGTCACAGATTACCCTCGGACCTCGACAGAGGGGAAATGGCAGTCCCAAACCCCCTCACCGAGTTGATTTCAAAATCGAGCCGTATAATATTCCCGCGACAGAAATCACAAAACTTGGGTTGTTTCCAAGTGGTACGAGAGCACTCGGTGATGTCTGGAAGTGTTCATGGTCTCGACGATCTCAGGATTCTGAGGTCACTGTGCACTCGATCGAAAATTCACAATATTCATTACCTTTTAGGTTGCGGTCCAATTAGTTAGGGTTCCTCAAGCAAACGACACGGAACTGGTGAATAGGACGAGCAAGGTAGGAGCAAGAACGAACTGAAAGTCATCGTGTTCATCCATTTCAACTCACAGAGGATTCGTCGCGAGGCTTATGTTTGGATTACCCTAGAGCATGACAATATTCTTACTTTCAATGGTGTTGTTGATGGCTTTGGGCCACTCCCTGCCCTAGTTTCTCCATGGATGGACAATGGATCGCTCGATGATTATCTGAAAAGGGAACGTGTTCCTTCCAAGGCCGACAAAGTACGCGAGTTCTGACATGTCGTTAGTTGAGACAAATGGGCCATGGCGGCCGGCCTCAAGTATTGTGCATCTAATTTTTTTCTGTATCTGATCAGACATGCTCACCGACTTGTTAGTACATGACAAAGAAGTAGTCCATGGCAATTAAACATGTGTACGTGTTCAAAGTCGTAGCTACGATGTCTCGTTATGATAACTCGATTTACAGACCAATGTTCTAATGAGTGCCGATGGGAAGCTTCATCTTGCAGACTTCGGTCTCTCGATGATCCTTTCGGAAGCACAAAACTCCTTCAGTCCGTGCCATCCAGGGAATGTGCGGTGGATGGCGCCTGAGATACTTGCTATACCTGAGCAAGGGGAGGTGGCGAAATCAACCAAAGCCGCCGATGTTTACTCATATGGTTGCATCATGCTTCAGGTGTGTTGTTTTCCATTCGATTCCATGTGAGTTACTGTGCTGATAATGTGCAGCTGTTTTGTGGACGTGCGCCTTACCTCTGGCTAACGCAAGCGAACCACATTATTCGCAGGAACAGAACCCTTCCGTCAATTCACTGATATCGAAGCGGTACACAAGGAGTATTCGTTGAAATGCATATCTGTCAGATCCGGAGATCGACCAGTGGCTTCTGCGACTGTAAAGTCCTTAGGAGCAGAGTAACAACAATACGATGAACTAGCCTAGGATGCTGTGTACTTGGAACAACATTTATGTGTTTCCCAATTTATTACTGCCTTGTTACATACACTATGAGGACTGGTATTGCATGTAGTCTACTAGCGCATTAGTATTGCTCCTACATAAATACAAATACAGCCAGTGTATTATACGACACCAAGAAGTGAGAACGGACACGATATATGATAGGAGACACTCGGAGTCAACATAAGGACAAGAAAGAGGATCACTTCAAAACCGAGACCTTATACAGGTGAAGTCTCGTTTGACAGTGCTTCTTGAAGATAATTTATCACCTCTTCTACTGATGGACGAAGCTCGCTCTTCGTTGACCAGCACCGCCGCATGAAATCCAGGTGATCAGGCTCGATCTCAACGGAGGAGTCAATGGGCTCTGTACGTTTGAACTTGGCAGAAATAACGTGTATGGCAGACTTCAGCCACCAGTAAGGCTGTTTCGCATGTAGGACCTGCACACAGGCGATGTTAGTCTCTCTAGCCAGCCCACACGAGACCACGAACCTGAAGCATGATACCGCCGAGAGCGTATATATCGGTAGATTTCGTGGCGCATTGTATGGGTTGCTCTTCTGGGGGGTCAAGAAGCTCTGGAGCGGCCCAACGTACTGAACCGGTGTGGTAGGAAAAGGCAGGGTTGGATTGTACCATGATATTGGAGATACCAAAATCTGCAAGACGAGGGGATCCATCGGCAGCAACCAGAACATTGCCCTACAATCACCATAAGATGATTCTGGTTGTACGGTATGGTATGTGTAAACTTACGTTGGTGAGGTCACCGTGGATTACGTCGTTGTCGTGGACTGCAGAAAACAAAGTTATATTTGTCACATCCATAGTCAATCCATCACTCACGGTATTGGAGTCCCTCTGCAATCTGTTTAAGCTATTGAAAACGTAGTAAGTTCCCGTACTCGGCTTCATGGATAAGACTTACCAGCCGAAGCCTATCTATCATCGAGAGGGTCTCATGTGCATGCTTAAGGTAAGATTCCAAAGTCCCGTTGGGCATCCAGGGGGAAACAAATGCGCGAAATGGGCCGAACTGCTCTACAGTGCCGTGCAAGGGTAATACATATTGATGCTTCAACTTGGCCCATATACGGATCTCGCGGTCAAAGTTCTGCGTTTCAAAAGTTCAGATATGCGGCCGTCAGACTGGGCCACAACATACCTTGTTGATTTTGGCTTTGTCAAGATCACTTAGACTTGGGAATCGTGGGGATTTGACCGCCACCTGAAGTCATAATCAGGATATGCAGAAAAAGAAAGTCTATTGAAATACCTCATCCGAGCTTTCGCCGCGGTTCCATGTACACTTGTAAACATCTCCAAGACCACCCGAGGCAGTTGGGTAACCGGTTTGCCTGTTGATATCACCTGGTTTGATACAGGGAACACTACTACAGTTCCATGTTTATAAAGTCCTGCTGAGGAAAAGAAATGACATACGAGTCTTCCGTAGAGAGGCGCCCACTTGAAACATGATCGTCGGAAGTTCTATTGGGAGTGTCGACACTCGGGGTCGGCTTGCGGTACTGTCATCAGCGGAATGCTCGAATAGAAGATGCCTGGCCATTTGGCGACACGGCTAACCTGTGTTGAAGTGAGATGGATGGATGGCTCCACGGACGATGTCAACAAACATACAAGATCATGAAATAACTGTTGCAAACGTTCGAGCATGCTGACGGGAAATTAGTGGGAAACAGTGCTGTTCCCTAAAACCGATGAACTACAGCCTTTTATGCAGGAAACACTAGTGCGGCAATATCGCAAAGTTATCCTACCGATAATTACGGTGGAAGGAGGCTGCCTAGGGTCGAACTGAGGACACCACGACTGATACTGGTCGAAGCAACGCTGTGGTTGAATTCGATCAATGATGAACACCCTTCCACTACAGACGCTCGTATCAGCAGGCGTCAAAAACTCACTTCTGATCTGTGGCAGACAATGAAACATGTTGTCAGGGATGTGAAGAGCACTGGCAGCACCGGAAAGAGTAGTGATTGTGCAAGGAAACACCTACTCTCGCGGCTTTGTTAGCAATAGATAATCCTTGTGGCAAAGAGATAGCGCTTCGAGAAGATGTCATGATAGTTCTAACTTCGCCGGATACAAAACGTTGTTAATACGAGCCAGTCGTTCAGTGAGGGTCAGAT